CAGCTAAAGCAACATAGACAGAAATGAGAAGGAAGATGGGGACACCAAGGAGATGGGAAAACGGCCACAAGGCGGACAGGAAGGCTGTGCAGAGGGATGTCTAAGGCGGTGCTCTAAATCACGTGGCTAGATAGCCAGTGGCTTGCTGCTAGTCTGCTACAAAAGAAATAAAGAAATCAAGAGTTAACACTTAAAACCTTTTATATTCCCTTTATGTTCATCCCAGTTACATTTCTTAAAGAATTATTAATTTAATTTAATCTAATTTATTATTCTTATTATTATTTTAATTTGCTATAGGACACATGCGCTCACTAGAGAGAGAAAGCAAGCTGCCAGGTCTGCCCCCCCCCCCCGTAACATTGAAATGAAATTTTATGACCACTGAATATAATAACAAAAATATCCTACATTTCTTAAAGAATTCTCTTATTTAACTTTATCTATTTATTTTTAATTTGACCAGAGAAGGACAGTGTGAGAGAGAGAGGGAAAGTGAGAAAGCAAGTCGCCAGGTCTGGGACTTGAACTGCAGTCGGCCTTGTGGGAGTCCCTTAACCACCATGCCACCTGCCAGCTCCTAGAAATACCTTATTTTTAAAAAGATAGAAAATTGCCAGAGGGCTCATGCACTCACCAGAGAGAGACGGATAGAGAAAGAGAAAAGGAAAGTAAGAAAGTACCCCCATGGGGAAAGATCATGCTGCAATCCTTTCTCTTCTGTGCTCCCTCCTTTCAGGATTTGGGGTACCTATGCACATGTGCCCAGCGTGTTTCTCAAGCAGCAGGGTCTGGAACTCCAATCACATGGTCAGCCACATGGGATTCACCTGCCTTAACCACCATGCCACAGGCTGGTCCAATAATATTTTTAAATAGGGCTTGTATTTAGTATGGCTTGTGTTTCTTTCATTTTCTTTTCTTTTCTTTTTTTGAGAGGTTTTGCTATAGGGTGCATATTGCTCAACAGAGAGACAGAAAGCCAGAAATCCCCCCTGAGGGGATGGCCACGCCATAATCCCTTCTCCTCCATTCTCCTCTTGGGATCTTGGGCACGCACGCACACGCACCTGGCGTGAGTTTAAGCCATGGTCCAGAACTTGAACCACAGTTGACTACATGGGAGTCCAGCGACATAGCCATTACGCCATCTGCTGGTCTCTGGATCGGACATTTTAACAGCTAGTCTTTCACTGTAGATAGTTTGAGACTCACTGGCCCAAGGGCGGTGAAGCTCCAAGGGCCACCAGCCCCTCCCCACCCTGGAACAGAAAAGCGAGACTTGCACAGCAGCAGATGCCAGGGCAGCCCTGGGGGCCATACCAGTGCTGACGCTGACCAGGCTCCCGGAAGCCTGGGCCCACCCAAGGACACAGAGACATGCCATGCTGTGGCTGCCAGAATCCCTGCCTTGCACCAGTGAGGCATGAAGACAGGAGTGACTGGCAGCAGAGGTATGGAGTGCCCCGGCATCCTGCTAGGAGAAGTGAGGGCTTCTAGAGGCTGGGGTTCCGGAGACCTCACTGGTCAGGCTTGTTACAGACTCTCCACTCCTCCTTTCTCCGTTCCTGACACCAGGTGGACACTAACTGTTGCAGGACAGCTTCGGCACTATCCAGGTTCTTGGTTGGTTTCAGACAGAGAATTGAACCACACATAGCAGAAGCAAAGGGTAGTTTATTAAGTAAAAGTGAAAGTACACTCCCAGAGGTAGGGGCAGGCCTGAGCATGAGAGGGAAGGAGTGGCTCAAGGGCCCAGTAGTTGCTTTCCAGGGGGTTTATAATTCCTTAACCAGGGTCGTGTCCACTGATTGTTGGCCGGGCCCACTGATTGCTTTCATCCATTGGCTTTATCAAATATGGCCAAGCCCACTGATTCATCTCATTGGCCAATCAAATGTGATCGGCCCACTGATTTATCTCATTGGCCATATCAAAATGGCTTAATCAGCTAGACATCCCCCACTGAAACTCTCCCACCTACATTACCTCGAGCAGGGAATTTTCTGCCCTAATTGGTTTTCCCATCTAGCAGTGCAGACGGAGGCTCCAGTGCCCTCACCTGCTTCCACTCTCTAGCTTTCTTCCTGCCTCATAACTTAGGAAACAGTTGGTTCAAGGAAAATGATTCTGGACCTTTTTTTCTTTTTTAAAATCAAGAACCCCCACTCTATATATCAGCTGAGGTCAAAGTTTCCAGTCCTCCCTTTTTTAAAAAGAGATTTTCACTATAGAGTATGTGTACTCGCCAGAGTGACAGAGACAGAAAGCGAGAAATCACCCTCCAGGAGGGGTGGCCACGCCGCAATCCCGTTCCCTCCATTCTCATCTCCGGATGTGGGCACGCACACACATGCACCCAGCATGAGCTTCAAGCCACCAGGTCCAACACTGGAACCACAGTTGACCACATGGGAGTCCAGTGCCTTAACCATTATGCTACCCGCTGCCCCTCCAATCCCTCTTTTTGACACCCACACGGCCTAACAGACACAGAGAACGTGCCTTCTCCTCCTCCTCATCTCTTCCCCAGAGCTGGAATGAGAATGTCGACTTAAGCCTAAAACTGCGATTGGCTTCAACCCAGAAGAGAGCAGAGTGTGTGATTCCATTTACATAAAGTACAAAAACAGGCCAAACTACCCTACTCTGTGAGAAATCAGGGCAATGCTTACCTTGGGGGTACAGTGATGAGGGGAGGAGGGGACTCCTGGGGGCTGGTCATGCTGACTCTCCATCTGGGCCAGTTACAGGTGTGCTCACTTTGAGAGAATTCCAGTTCATGGCAGTTGTACCTGTATGGTTTCACACGTCTTCATGTACGCTGAACTTCAATAAGGAGTTGGAAAACCTATGAGCTCTAAGCACACAGCACAGAGGCCTTGCACCGCCACTGTCTGTTCTGCTCGTGTTGGAAGTGCTCAGCCGCAGGACCACAAGAAAAGAACAATGGCCCTGTAAGAGAAGCTGGAATTCGGTTTTCGGGTCACTATTTTCCCAGGTGGTTGATGGGGAGGGGGTTGACTCATTTTCCTTGCTCTCCCTCCTGCCTTCAGCCCCACCGTGTCAGGGCTGGATGGGAGCCAAGGGTCGGGAGAGTTGGACTGTTGCCTTGGTAACGCTTAAATATTGGCTTCAAGTTATGGTGGTAAAACAAATCAGCAGGAGCCTTGGGGACCTCCAACTAGCCCTGCCCGTTGTTCTCAGACCTTCAGTCAAAGTCCGTGAATAAGTTGGCTCAACTGTAATAAAACTCGCCACTCTCTCCTGGAGGGACAGAGGATAGGCCAGAGGCTAGATGTGCCCTGGTCGCTCAGGGATGCACACTCAATGCTAGATGTCCTGTCTTAATAGGCTCTTCTAAAATTCTGGCTCACCATCTTCTGGCAAGAGCCCAGATCCAGAGCCTGGGGCAAGTTTCTCTCTCTAAAGGCTAGATGGGCATGGAGTCTGAACAGTTAAAATTCTGCTGTCGGAAGGTGTCCTCACTTTCAGGAGCTGAATACAGAGAAAACACTCATCTGTAGAGGACAGGAGCCATGAGGCCCTGCCTCAGGCCCATCCAGAAACCAGGGGCAGAGGAGCTGGGATTCCCATCAGAACCCGAAAGATGAGGACTCTGGTCCAGGAAGGCAACAGAACCCTGCCCAAGATAAATTCTCAGTTCTTGTCTCAGCTCTTGAGCCAAGATGGTCTTTGTCTTGGAGATTTATATAAGTCCTTAAGTCCTCTGGGCCTCAGTTTCCCCATCTACAAGTTGTTATTTTTATAGACAGAGGCAGGAGAGAATGAGACCCCAGCCCTGGGAACAAACCCTCCGAAGCTTTCCAAGCAGCTGGGGCAGATGTGCAGTGTGTAGTCCAGGGTTTACAATGCCACTGCCCTCGGGAAAGGGAAAACTGCTCGCCTCGCCCATTTCAAAAGCATCCAGATAATAAGCCACCAGCCTTGGCTTGGAAGATCTGCTCGTCCTGCGTTGTGTGCAGGGGAGGGGAGAGCACACAAAGCTGGGCAGGGGTAGGGTGGGGACGGCTCCCTCTGGGGGCAACGAGGAAGCACTGGGAGGTGCTGGGAGAGGCCCTGAATATTCGACAACCAGCATGAGGTCACCGCCATCCTCTCTCTGGGGCATGACCTGTCAGCAGGCAGCGACTGGCCCGCGTGCCATGATTCATGGCTGTGAGCATCTCCCCCCAAGTCCTTGGCCCCAGGCCTGCTGCTGCCTTCCCGGCCAACTCTCCACTTTCTCTCCCTAAAGCTCCATCCTCCCAGGCACCAGCCTAGCCAGCCAGGACAGTGGGGTGAGACACAGCATGGGCAGGAACTAGGTGCCCTTAGGCTCCTTCCAAGGCCACAGGCTGCCCTCTGGTACAGTTACAGAACCACGTGATGTTCCCTCTTCACGTGGCCCATGGTTTCCCTGGGGAAGGCAGCTTGTGGATAACAGCACACCTACTATGTGCCGTGTGTGAGATGCCTTTGGTGATGACTGTCCTTTGGGAGGGTGCCTTTCCTGGCACTGTCATGACAAACCACCACTAAACTAGATGACCTTTTTTTCTTAAGAAGTTTTTGCCTTAAGGCACATGCATTTACCAGAGAGACAGAGACAGAGAGAGGGAAAGTAAGAAATCACCCCCAGGGGGATGGCCATGCCATAATCCCTTCTCCTCCTGGGATCTCAGGCATGCACACAACACGCGCCCGACAAGATTTTCAAGCCACCATGTCTGGGACTCGAACCTCAGGCAGCCATGTGGAAGTCCAGTGACATAATTGCTATGCCATCTCCTGCCCCCTAAATGAAGAACAGAAATTAATTGTTTAAAGAGGCCAGAAGTCCAAAATCAAGACATCGGCAGGGCCACGCTCCCTATGACGGCTCCAGGGAAAAATCTTTACTGCCTCTTCCGGCTTCTGGTGCCTTGGTCAGTCCAGTCTGTCGCCTGTCTTCATATGGCCTTCTCCTCGTCCCTACTTGTCACCTCCCTGTGTATGTCCGCCTGTGTCTTCACCTCTTCTTAGGACACTGATCATCGGATTTAAGGTCGACCCTGCCTCCAGGATGCATCCATGTGGAGAGTCTTAACTACATCTGCAAAGACCCTATTTCCAAATAAGCTCACGTTCTGAGGGCCTGGGGGGAATCGAATTGTGGAGGCCACCACAGAGGGGTAGTATCCGTACCCCCTGTTTACAGACGAGGAAAGGGAACCAATGAAGTGAAGTGGCTGAGTCAGGATCTGGACCCAGGCCATCTGGGCTCACCCACTGTATTGTCCCTGCCAGAACTTGGGCATCTTCAAGAACCCCTAGTCTGCAATGTCCGGGAGGGAGAATGGGTGGGGAATCCTCAGCCTTCAGGAACAAAACCTGGTCCCATACTCAAGTCATTCTCTGACGCAGGTTTGTGGGCAAAGTCTCAAAAGGAACCTGTAAAGTCACTCTGAGATTCTGACCCAATCAGCCATGAGGGTGAGGAGGGTAATGGAGGAGAGGAGCCAGGGTCCACACTGCGGCTCAGGTGGCTCCAGTGCAGGTGAGCGCAGGTGGATCCAGAACCATGTTCTAAGAATTCTGAAGCATCCATTGAGACTAGACTCCAAGTTGGAGGTTGGCCTGTCTCCAGCTCGAAGTAGGAGCAGAGAACACAGTTCAGCCAAAGGGACAGGGCCCCGTGTCCCTGCCAGCCTGCATTAAACCAGAAGTCCTCATCCCTCCACAGCCAGCTTGTGCTGAGCAACCCAAGGAAGGGAGTTTGGATTGGAATTCCTGTCCCAAGAGGAGCCAACACAGGCTCATTCTAGGAGAGCCTCAAGGCAGTTTTGGGCTCAGCCCAAACCCCAGCATGGAAGGTTTGGAAAGGCTCCGAGAGCGAGCCAAACCCTCTCTCCCCTTTACAATTCCAGTGTGAACAGCTCTTCCCCAAGACCAGCCCTTTCCCAGGGTGGCGTCACTGAGCACCCTCCATGCCAAGCAGCGATGGAAATTCGGCACTCCACGTCTTCCCAAGCAGCTGGAGCTGCAGCTTGGAGCCTAAGCAGTGACAGCGCCTTCTCCACCACCCACAGCCAAGAGGAAAACAGGTACAGCTGGCTGTGCGTCTGCTCAGCAAAGCAGCCCTCCATCTCTCCTCCGAACGAGATGTTCTTGGCATCTGGAGCTTCTCTACCAGGTCTCACAAAAACACAGGAGCTCGCCTCTGGATAAACCCTCCAGGCATTTCCATAGCCCTGCAGTGGGCAGGGGCCCTGCCAGCAGCCACACCCAGAATTACCCTGGCAGACTCTGGCTTAAGATCCACTGCGGTCTCAGCTCTCCAAGGTTTAATAAGGGAAAAAACAGGAAGAGAGCGAAGGGAAGAGCCTAGCAACCCCTGAGGATGAGGGAGCGTCCCAGGATGCCTGAAGCAGGGGAGGGAACTGTCAGGGGAGGGAACTGTTGGGTTTTTATTTTTTTATTGAGATGAGAGTCACATAACATAAAATTTAGCTTTTTTTTTTTTTTTTTTTTTTTAAATTTACTAAAGGGCACATGCACTGACAGGAGGAGAGAGTGAGAAAGCCACCTCCCGTGGGGGATGGCTACACCGCAATCTCTTCTCCGTTTCTTCTTACAAGATTTTGGGCACATACACACATGCTCCCAGCATGTATTCAAAGCCTCAGGGTCCAGGATTCGAACTGCCCTGTCAGCCATGTGAGATTCAGCCACCTTTTCTTCTCCATCGACAGACTGAAATTCACCATCTTAAAATAAACAATTTCTTGGCGTCACCTCTAACTAGTTCCAAAACATTTCCGTCATCCCCGAAGGAAAACCTGTACCCACTAAGCTGTCGCTCCCTCCCTCCCCCGACCCAGCCCCTGAAAACCACCAATCAGCACTCGGCACCTGTGGGGTTACACATTCCGGATTGCACACATGGAGTCAGACACCTGCGTGACTGGACACCTGTTGTTTACACCCCCGGCACCCACTTCACTTCTCAGGATTGCAACATTCTCATTTCACTGTGGGGAAATCGTTCCGCCACTCCTTGAAATCTACCACTGCCCCATCCACCACTCACAGGGCAGGCACACGACCCAGTCTTGCAAATCTGTCGCCATGATCAGTTCAGAGACAGAACTGTGATGCAATTCCAGCCCACGAGAGTGCCCACAGGACTTCTGCTGGTACGGCCTGCAAGTGGGGCTCTCTGCTGCTTTCCCTGGTCAGCAGGACAGGAGGCCGGAGCTGCTGCAGCCACTTTTGCTACCACAGAGTGACCGGCTGAGAATGAACCCCACACAGAGGAGAGCAGAGACAAAGGAAAGCCCATTCTGATGATTGGTGTCCGGAGCACCTGGACCTAGCTCTGCCTGTGGAGATCTAGCCTTGGAGACTTCACTTAGAAAGCCGATAAATTCTTCCGTACTTGAGCTAGTTGGAACTGGGTCTCTGTCAGGTTGTTGGGAAAGTCATGATGCATTTTTGTATAGAAAAACATGTCATGATTTTTCCAATGACCCGATATAATTTGCAAGTGAAAGAGACCCAATCCATCATTGTGACTACAGGGACTCAGCTCAGCCTTCCTCCTTAGCCTCTCCAGTCCTCACGGATTAAAGCATAGCCTCCTTGGCAAGGAACGCATGGCCTTCCTACTCTGGTCCCTGCTTCCCTTCCCTTTCGTGCCTCGTACCCCTGCCTCTCATTCAACACCCACGTATACACACACACACACACACACACACACACACACTTTTCTCCACCTTTGATCTCACCTCTTATTATGCCCTCTGTCCAGAATGTTCTCATTACCCCCCACCCTGGCCCCAAACGCTTACTCATTCTTCAACACTCCATTCAGGCATGACCTCCTCCCCAAAGCCTTCCGGACTCAGTGTCCCATGTCATTACAGCTGGAGGAAGTGGCTCTAGGCTCCCTGCAGCCCTGGGTGTCACGGCACTTGTCTACGTGCTGCTTTGTAGTTTCGTTTTTCTTGCTAGAAGGCACACGTGCTTACAGAGAGAGAGGAAGGAGAGAACGCATCTCCCATAGAGAATGGTCACATTGTAATCTCTTCTCCATTTCTCCCTCCTTTCAGGATTTTGGGCATGCATGCACGCGTGCCTAGTTTGTTTCTCAAGCCACTGGTTCCAGGACTCAAACTCGTGGTCAGCCATGTAGGATCCAACCACCAGACCACTGAGCCAGCCCACCTCCCTTTTACCTGTGTGTCCTCTCCACTCTCCCTTACCCAAACTGGGGTCCTTTTGAGCAAAGTCTATGCCTGGCCCTTGCCAGCCAGCACAACATTTGAGTTACGGTAAGGCTTCAGTGCACAGTGGTTGAGTACATGAATGAATAAGCGAACAAAATGCCTTGGAACACTGCTTTGAAAGAGAGCTTATTTTCCAAGTTTTTCCCAAAGATAAAGGGTTTCGATTTATGCAAGCAGCCTTTATCCAGGCAGATGGCCAATTCCCATTCTGTCCCATATTTAAAAAGACAATTTCTAATATTTCAGCCATCGATCTTTGCCTTGGCTAAGGATGGACTCTGGGGCCCTTCCTTTCCTGGAACCTCACCCTCTCTCTTCAACCTCATGTTGGGGGACAGAGAGAAAAGGGACTCATGGGCCAGCAGCTCACAGGAAGACCTCTAACACCAACCAGTGAAGGTGGGCCAGGGTCTCTCCCCAGCATGGATGACCTGGCCAGGACTTGCGGTACCACTGAAGGCCGTCTCGAGCTTCTCCCAGTGACCTCACTCACTAATGCAACATGAGAGCCCAGAGACGATAGCAGGGCCCTCTCTTCCTCATCAGATTGTTCTGATTTGGAGGCCGGCCTTTCAGCTCACCGTCCCCTCTGGACACCAGCTACCAAGAGAAGGCCAGAGCCAAAGGATAAAGGTTCACAGCTGCTGTAACCCAAGGTGCGGATGAGATTAAGGTACCGTCCCCAGGTGGACTCCTGGGTTCA